ATATATAGTTTACCCGATTTCACGCGATTCATGTTGTAGAAGTGCGAAACAAAGCGGAGGAGTGTGATAAGATAGCGTCCATACATGCTGATAAACGAGACGAACCAGAATATTGTCTGTCTGTTGAAGACAACTTGGAACGAGCCGTGGGCTATCGTTGGTCTACCGTCAATGGACAAGAGCATATTGCTGAGACCAGACAGGGAAATGTCTCTAAACGTACATGGCTAAGCCATACCTTGAGAGATACACGATCGCAGATCATCCACGATGGTGTGCGATGTCTGTTCTGAATTTTCGATTATCTAACGATCTTTCAAGAGTGTAGACAGATGTATTTAAAAAACAAACAAACATCAGAACGTATTTGGAATCTGCTAGGTAGTAGATAAGACCGTCGTCATTATTCTGATGTTTCATGTAGATTGCATTGGATTGTGCCAAAGCTAGTAGAAGTGTATCCCCGAAAAAAAATAATTGGGTGATGTTGGCCATGCTACTGTGTATTAAGTTTTCTCATGAAGCTGGATTAGCGATCCAAAAGAAAAGAGCTAAACGTTGAGGAGAATATGATACAATGTGATCATTTTCATATTTCAGGTGATGTTCACTACAGTTTTTACAATATCTCTCATATTTTTTGAATCACTTCTTTTTGTGCNNAAAGAGTGGGCCCGATCCGACCCGGAACTGCATGCGACCGAGGCGCTCGCACCGATCCCAGTGCCCAAACAGTCCACCTCCGATGTCGAAATGCACGAGATGCAGCAACGAATAATCATTCTAAACCCATCTGATCATCTGGTCACTGATATTCCGAACACAGTGTCCGCCAATGTAAACGAGACACCGATCTCGGTCGACAGTGTTCCCCCAAAGTCGGCTGTTCAGANCACCACCGCCACCGCCACCGCCACGGCGTGTCATTCGCTTCTCGCGACCCGGTTCAACTGCTCAACACTTTTTGGCATTCATGCAACCCAATGTGCGTCTGTTCAACACAGTACTGGTCCCCGTGCCCCCGGGCGATGAGACGGTACAGGCTCTAAACGTGGTGGCTGCGATGATTCTCGTAGCTGTTCATTCCATGGGTACGTGCGCGCATGCTTGTGTGTTATTGTGTTATTGTGTCATTACTTGTTTTCACACACATAACTGAGACTTTATTGTCCATCGAAATTGGTGAGGGCATGTATTATATGAATTGGTTTATGGAAGTCGCAATGCGGTTTGGAGTATCATGTTTGGATTAACCCATTCGAATGTTCAAAGGCACCGGACACTCTTGATGGTCTTCGGTATGGGTTTCACTCATTGGGAGATCGTTAATTCAATTGCAGTGAAAATGTTTGCAATGACATAATGAACGGTATATGAATGGTTAGACAGAATTTCCCAGAAGCACCTGACCGGTTTCGCGGTCCCTGTCGCTCGTCAGGTATGTCTGGTCAGTCTTATACTTGAACTCCCGATGTGAATTATGCAATGAGTAAGCAGTGCACCAGGCACAATCTCCCCCTGCCGTTTGTTACGCAACGCACCCGGGTAGAATTTTACCCTTGGTCACAGAGAAAAATATCGGCTTTAATTCACCCTTGTCCGACTATCCCGATCAATGAAAAAAGAAGAGTTACTTGTGTCTAATACAGTCCCACAATCAGTTCGATTTTAGTTTAGGGAAGTATTGCAGTTGTGCCAAAATTACCCCACGAGCTACACTCAATCTGAGTGGTTGAAAGTAAAACATGTACTCGATCCCATACTGGTTGTACATCTTTATCTCCCGGTTCATTCGTTCGTACATTTGGTCGTATTGAGAGGCCGATCCTACTGCCTAAGCTATTTATTGTTACTGATTTTATCAATCGATACTGTCCGAATATACCATCCATACCCATTGTGAGAAAACACAAAGTAGCGAACAAGCTCGTT